AAAAGCGACCTTTCTCAATTAAAAATCTGTTATTCATACATTTAAATTTACATAAAGCTTTTCTCAAATCTTTTGGAAGATAAATCAAATATTTTTCAAAACAATGTTCTAAAGGCCTATCAACCTTTCCTGGTTGTCTAGAACATAGAGTTATCTTTCTTGATATGTAAAAGCCGCACTGAATCTTAATCCGAATGTTGTTCAATTTTTTCCTGGCATCAAAGTGCATAACATTACTTTATTAGAAAAAAGAGTTGAAAAAATATAATGAAGTTTGATATATGTTGAGGTAAATAAAAAAGAAAACAGGAAAATAAATAAAAATCCAGCATTAATAATGTCTGAATCCACCTCGACATCTATACTTATAAATTAATAAATTTTGCATATAAACTCCGAAACAGGTGAACCAGAGTTCTTACTTACTCTTCTAACAATACACTAGATACAAGATGATGTCCGTAAACTATATTTAGATTCCACTCGCATAGTAAGTATCGTACATTAAATTAAAAGTCTACTTTCATTGTCTTTAAACAGCCAAGAAATAGCTAAAGCGTGAGTACGGTGGCGTTTCCGGTTGGCGGATCTAAGTTACTGGCAATTTTTAATGAAACTGACAACAAGAAATCGTTTATTTATTACATAAAACGTCATCACTGATTTATTCAATCAAAATTCGATTTAAATGATATAAAAGAAATAGGTTGTGATAACCGATTAAAAAGGGAAATGTGCAAATTATTTTCGTCATTCACCGATCTTTATATTGAAGGAAGCTTCTAGAACATCATATAGCATCGAGCCCGATGTTAAGGAAAAAACGAGGCGATTATAGCTACATGACCATAAGAAAAGCTTTCGTGTAAATGGTCATAATTGAAATAATGGTAAATCACTGATAACACTATAAGTTGTGAATCTAATTATATATCGAAAGACTATTACATATACATGTATGTAGTAGATTTTCCTAATGAATTTATCGGTAGAATTTGTATAACGTTATATTCCTTACTGAGAGCATCGTGGCAAGGAACCCGAAGTACAATTTGTACTTCGTAATAAACTTGCTTACATGAAAAGAGAAAATTAATGAATAAGGTATTGATCAAATACAATTAAGGATGAAAAATTTTGCGCTTTAATCAATGCACAGTTAATTTCTGAATACAATCTTTCATAGCTGCAATAATGTAGCCCTCTCCTTTTTTGAAGGGGGGGGGGCAGAAAGAGAGGCCAGAAAATATCAGATGAAAAAAAAAAAAAAAAACGGAAAGAGCTACATTATTGCAGCTTAGTCCTTTGTATCAAATACTCAGCCAATTCATATGGCGTTAAAAGCTAATTTTTACACAGGTACTTGGTTCTTAGTTTTTAAATATGTATGTACCTTATTGATAGGTAAAAAAGTAAAGTACATTTTTACATATCAATAAGGTACAAATATATTCATAAACCAAGACCCAAGTACCTGTGAATTTTTAACCCTCCTCCCCCAATCAATTTATTTGTAAAAAAGTGCATATTCCGCGTTGCTTTTATCCTTGACGGAAATGAAATAAGAGCATCTGGAGTACAATATCCATAACATAGTATAACAGGTTTCACAATAAACGTCAATTAATAAAATTGCTATTTTTCAAGTTTAAAAAAGAAAAAACAAAAAACAAAAACGAAAATAAAATAAAATAAAAATAAAACAAACACAAAAAAGGGGGGGTTGGGGTTGGAAAGGTACATTTGTAAATCTACTTCATGCGGGATTTTGAACAAAGTATTTGTTCCTGCTATAAGCCTGTAGGCTGTCAGTAGAGAACTACAATATATTTTCCGTCGATAGTAGTATAAATTCAATTCCCGCGCTTGCCTATCTATTTTCCAGCGGAACAAATGACAAACTTTTCAAATTGAAATTTTCTTCCTTCTTTTTGTTTATTAAGGATAAATAAAAATTTACAGCGTCCTAATTTTTAGATCAGTAAGCATCACACTATCTTTTATATCTGTGTTTGAATCATATTAAATGCTGAATGACAATGTCTAGAACTACATGACCGGCAGTATTTATAAGATACTGATCTTCTAGCTTCATTACGACCAGTATACATGTATAACATTCTCGATTTTTTTTAAACATCAGAAACATTAATTGTACCATTTTATTTAAATATAATCATTTACTAAAGAAATATAACTCTATAATACCGAGTTTTACAATGTTGGACATTTCATTTTGTTATATTTTGTATCTCCTTTGATTCAGTAAAATCTTCTATTTTTAATTATTATTACACATAGGTTTTTTTTTTTTTTTTTTTTTTTTTTTTTGTTTTTTTTTTTTGTTTTAGATATGCTAGATTATCAATGATTTGAACCAATAAAGATTTTTGTTTACATCGTGGTTATGCCCAGTACATATGTACTCAAGGTCTACAGTAATAAGTCAAAATATTACCTGAGATTTTCGGCTGTCCTGTCAATTGTTAATACATCTTTTTTAGATACCATTCATAAAACAAGCCCTATATGTGCATTAAAATGTGATGTTTCTTCGAGCATATCTATATCCTTGAATTTGTTCCTGCCTTCGTAAAACTTTCTGCATTTTTAAAATCATTTTTCAAACATCGTTCGCATCAGATAAGATTAATGTGTGTCAAAACTGATTAAATAAAGACTGTGTTCGCAGTTACTGCCAGGTTTATCTGAAATTTTGAAAGAGTGTTGTTCAAAAATGCATGCAAAAAAATAAATAAATGCGCAATGTTCCTTGCTCATTACCTGTTTTTCATATGACTAATTCACCTACACAACTTGTTTCATCCTGAGAAAATTATTCGTAATAATAATAAATTAAGTTGCCAACAATGTAAGAAAGAAGACAGCGGTCTACGGTATGTATTTCATCTTTTGTTTGTTTGTTTTTTTTGGGTTTTGTTTTGTTTTGTTTTGTTTTGGGTTTTTTTTTTGGCATCTTAGACAAATTCATACATTTGTAGTGTTTTTAGTGTGTTATTAGCCTTCGCTTTATAACTCATTTATAAATATGATTTATAAATATCAATTGTTGATATAACCTGTTGGATATTCGTACAGTGGACCTGTCGTGATGAGGTTTGTGTTACTGTTGTATATATAATTATGCACAACTCTAACTTTCATTTTGATGATCCTTCTATAAGATTTGTATGACTCAGTCCAATATTATTTGTGTGTGTGTGTGTGTGTGGGGGGGGGGGTTAAGCACGTAGTTTCGGAGGGGTGGGGGCTGCCCCCTTTTTTCGGAGTCGGGACCAAACATAATCTTTGACTGTTGAAAATATTCGTTATAAGGAAGATTGTCAACACCCCCCCCCCCCATATTTTGCTGCTATATAATCAAATCAGGGTAATGTGGTAGTGTATGAAGTTATGAAAAGTTGGAACCTAACCCCCCCCCCCCCCCCAACAAATAGGATTTTTGGCGACCCCTTTCAAAAACTATACTATGTGTCTGTGTATGTTTCAGTGGGTATCCTAGCAAGGAAGTGAAAGGCATAATCACTGCAGTATGGATCATAAAGGGGTTTCCCAACTGCGTCAGGAACTATATATATATATTTTTTTATAAATGATTACTACAACAGTCGAATCTCATCATTTCGCGGGTATGTTAAGCAGTGTTAAGGAAGCATTCAAATCATTTCTCGGGAAATTTGGACTATGACACCTGCGAATTTATGCGTCCAAGTGTGACAGAAATATACCGTACTTGGGGGTGCATGGGTGGGGTGGGATGGGGTTGTTTATTTGTTTTGTTTGTTTGTTTGGGTTTTTTTGTTTTGTTTTGTTTTTGTTTGTTTGTTTTTCTTTTTGAGGCCGAGACATAATGTATACGTCTTTTATATCTTCAAAATATGCAGTAGTACTGTAATGTTATGAAATCCCGTAGAACGCCCGGGGGGGGGGGGGGGGGGGGGTCCGCACCCAAGAACTTTTTTCTGAGTATAGTATTTTGCTAAACAAAAATTTTCATTTAGATGCTGGTTGCCCTCCCCCCTCCCCAACACTTTTTAATTGTTGCTGTAGGGTTATTATTTATTTATTTGCTTTTCAGGGATTTTTTTTACGGTGACCTCTTATAAAATCGATGCTACGGGCCTGTGTAAACAAAGGTTGTCGTAAAAAAAGAAAATATATAGCATTTGATTTATTTCAATGTCCTTCACATAATGTAATCATTAGAAACCTTTTTAAATTATAAATAGCAGCAGCCAATCGTACTAAATTTAACAACTGCATGCTTGTTTCAATATACTAAACGATCGCTCTTTTGCTTGTTGCAGTTATATATGAAAAACATTTATATATGATATCGGGAATAGCTGTGTTCCATAATTACCATAACATAAAGGCCTAAGTCATGCTTAAAAGTCCATCAGTAGATCAGTAGATAATGCTAACGATAATTAAGATTTTCATGGAGTCTAAAATGGGCCGGGGGAGGGGGTTGAAAAATATAACGGGAGCAGTTTGATTAAAAAAAAGTGTGGGAAAATAAATAAAAAGAAATGTGCATGTGCTTTTTTTTTTTTTTTTTTTTTTTTTTTTTTTTTTTTTTTTTTTTTTTTTTTTTTTTACAAATTCATTTGTCACTCGAACATAACTCTCTGAATTTTCGTATTTTTCCCCATTGCTATATTCTAGTTATTAATGAATTAAATGGATAAAACGAATTTTAAGTGATGCTAAGAACATTTCTTAAGACTGATTCTCCACATTGCTCCCTGAGATTTTATTTTAATAGAATTAATATATATTTCGTACCAGGTCCTGTTTATGGGCCTCGTCTTATAAAGCGATGTTTAGTCGAGCGTATCTATCATCCAATTTCGTTCCTGCGTTCACTAGATTTCTCCTACATTAATTATTATATTTTTTAAGCCGTGTTTCACACATCAATAACATCAGATGTGTAGTTAATGTGTGTCATAACTTTGATTGAAGTTTGACCAGGATCTTGATATACCTGTGGGTTTTTTTTTCCTGTTTTGATATTTTGAAATATCGTACTTAAAATGCACATAAAACAGGAGTGGACCGAGAAGGTAACATTGCTAATTTTCTTTACTCTATATCACTTTTTTTTTTTTTTTTTTTTTTTTTTTTTTTTTGCAGGGGAGGGGGGAGGGGTGTCTTAATACATGTTTGTATTATCACAATTATATGAATTTGTACAACAAAAATTTTCATAAGATACAGCTTTTTATGCAAATAGTAGAACTATTTACTAGTATACTACGTATTTTGAGGACCATTTGGAATTAATTTATATCAAATAGCTTATAAAACTTTATTTCTAATAAGACAGAAAATTTAATCAATATTATGTGGAATCAGTATATTATAAACTTTGGTAATAATTTTCGTCTCATTTATGAAAACAGATATCTATTTTTGCTCTGTGGCTTTTTAAGTAAACAAAATTTAAATACATGTATACATTGAAAATGATTTTTTTAACACCAAATAATATATTCCGGGGTAAAGATAAGATACATGCTAGCAAAACTTTTATTCTGAATGAGGAGGGGGAGGGAGGATCTAATCTATAAATAACTGGACATCTGTCGACGCGCGAGATTGTATGTATCTATTGATTAATCTTATACAAAAAAGGGAACGAATAAAGAAGCTCGCTCGTAGTTTTTTTTATGATACAATAAAAAAGAAAATGGATATCCCAATTAACAAGCCACAATGTATACAAAATAGTCTATGCAATCTGTTGCGATAAACTGGGATGTGAAGGATATCCAATATCAAGTCACTGAGTAATAAAAAAAAAAATGAATGAATTAAACGTTCCACTAAAGGCGTGATTTTGAATTCAAGATGACTAACGTCAGGTAATGCATTTGTTTGTTTTTTCTTTTCTCTTGATAAAGCTCATGGTATAAATATCATCCCTTTTTTTACGAAATAGCGCACATAGTGTGTTCTAGCTAGGATTTTGCTTATTTTGACTGAAATACATGTTTACTGATAAAATAGGAGACTCCTGTGAATGGACAGCTGGCTGATGATTCAGTTAATTATCCGTGTATTTTTATGCATAGAGCTGTACTATATAATGTTTAGGATGATGGGGTTCCCCCTTTAGTGGTGACGTAAGATCAGTCTTGGGGGAGGGGACATCAGTATCCATGGGTCCTAATTGCCTATTTTGAAATTTCTATATACATGTATTTATGCCTCTGGATGACTTAGTCATATCAGAATACTACGTTTAAGAAAATGTGTGTCGTATAATTTTTGAGTTTCTGTTTAAACAGACAGTTTAACATTGTAAGAATTTTAATCATTCTTTAGACATGTATTTGATAAAAAACAGAGCTGTGAAAATGTTACAGGAGCAATATATGAAATGGGGAAATCCCCCATGTCATTTTTTTTTTTAAATTCTGAAGAAATAAGTTTTCATAACTGTTCTAGTTTCACTTTCTAGATTTTGCCACGGATGAGATTATTTTTTATAGAGACTTTCGTTTATTTAATATCGCCCAACTTTCACCATCAACCACGTAAGTGGGTGAACTACTTCTTGGATAAAACATAATTTCATATCTTCAATAATACCTAAATTTTCAGCGAAGTTTTCAACACCCTATATTTTATTTGCATAATGTAAAACTGGTATTTCAACCTTATCTAACAAATCTGGGTGAAATTAAAAGGCAAATAAGAGTTTATATTCCTGTATATCATAAATTGCTTCTTGCGCATGTTTGAAAAGATATTATCTGTCTTGAAGATATGACCCTTTATCGTGAAAATATGAATTTAAAAACACGATGCGATAGTTCACAATTCATTATTCCATGTGTGGTGTGTCTTAAAGCTCTGATCATAGGTGACGGCTTTCATTTCAATCATTAATAGTTTTAGGTAATTGAAAAAAAGTATACTTTTATATCATACTTTCTAAAAGAAAACAGGAGTGCAATGGCTTTAAGGTAGCTTGAATACCCCCTTGATCAGGTGTGAAGGCATTTCAATTCAAAATTTTAATTTAAAAAAGACCAGTTTCATCAAAAGAATAATTTATTTTATGTGTGAAATGATATAAATATTAATTTTGTAATAAACAAAAAACATATAAAGGGATTTTTTCTTAGCGTTCCATTGGCCGGCAACTTAAAGATGAGAATTTCTCCATAACACGCTGTTGCCTAAGTGCTTTGTTTTTTTATATAACTTGCTTCATTTTTTGCATTTGTTTGATCAGTTCAAAATGGAATAGGCTATATTTTTAAATGAAGGACATTGAATGATATGTTGTTTGGCTTTGTTTGAATTGCTGCTGAAAACAGAAATTTCTGATGTGGAAAAACTAAGCCTTGGCTTTTAAAAAGGCAAAGCTAAAAAATATCATCCCAATTCCCCGCCTAACAAGCATATTACGTAAAGCAATTCGTTACAAAGTTACACTCTGCTGCAAAGATTACTTCTTAACATGTAGGAGTACCTTTCAATTTAAACAATATTCTTCAAGAATAAAAAATTGGATATATCTAAATCAGTTAAATAGAATTAATTGCTGCTGAAAACCAAGCGTTTGCTTAAAAAATGGCCAGTTGCTCCTATTTCATAAATTGAACATAATTGCAAAAGAAATACATAGGCAAAAAGTTTACATTGCGAATAAACACAACTTCAAACTTTTTGGACTATACTTTTTGGACTATACTTTTTGGACTATACTTTTTGGACTATACTTTTTGGACTATACTTTTGACGGCATATTATCTCTAAAGACACAAAATCCAGAAAACTTAAGGAGGGTCACCTTTAGGGATGTATAGAGTCAAGGCAACACAACTTCACAATTCACACTATGCCACAACTCACACCACTTCACACTATGCCACAACTCACACCACTTCACAATTCACACTAAAAGCCACAATTCACATCACTTTGCAATTTAGCTGCAGAACTGTAGCTCTCTGCTTGAGAAAATTCGGACAGACAAAGCAGAGAGCTACAGATCCAAGCGTTGTAAAAACCTTCGATTTACGCCGCCGCTTTTTTGTCGCTCGATTCGGGTATTATTTCTTGTAATTAATGCCTTTCCCTGCTTTAAAAGTGGTATCCAATAATTATCCATATATTTAACTCCTATTCCTGACACTTTATTTACCTTTCAACGGTCTCAAACAGCCCTTTATGGTTTTTGAAATGTCGGTTTAAAAAATTCCCATTCCGACGTCCATGTTATTGGGGGTTGTGCGAAAAGAAGTAATTCAAAGAACATATACTTGTCAAGAAAACGTAAATAAAAATTTCAGGAGGTTTAAATATTATGTATATTGTCTATAAGAATACAACATGTATGTAAAAAAAGAAATGAGATAAATAAAACTCGGGCGTGTTGTTTCAGGGGGACACCAACGTCGACGTCGGAATGCATTTTTTAAACTGATCGGCCGTCTGGAACTGTTGAAAGGTAAATAAAGTGTCAGGAATAGGAGTTAAATATATGGATAATTATTGGATACACTTTTAAAGCAGGGGAAAGCATTAACTACAAGAAATAATAGCCGAATCGAGCGACAAAAAACCGGCGGCGTAAATCGAAGGTTTTTACAACGCTTGGATCTGTACATAGCTCTCTGCTTTGTCTGTCCGAATTTTCTCAAGCAGAGAGCTACAGTTCTGCAGCTAACTACGGTATATACCACAACTCACACCACTTCACAATTCATTCAGTGTCACAACTCACAGCACTATTTATAACTCACACCACTCCAGAACTTACCTGTTGACAACTCACACCAATTCCACAATTCACGCCATTATATAATGAAAATGATGAAGATAACGAACAGTGATCTATACTCACACCACTTCTCTTCTCTATTACGGGGAGTGGGGGGGGGGGGGCAACGCGTGTTCTGGAACCTTCTTTTACTGATCCCTCTTCATGGCCCAAAGCACAAAAATACCTTAAATATCTCCTTTCACACTTTAAAGAATTTACAGGTTAATATTTTGAAGTTGTAATTTATATTTCATCTTCTACAGGGGAAGGCAGATGATTTCACCTAAAATTCAGATCGTGTTTTACCAATGAAATTTTCATTGACTATTCAGTGGAATCCTTTTTAGAAAGAACTCTTCGGTGACCTCAGTTTCTGAACGGATATCGACCAACATAGGTATGTGGATTTACATGTATTTGGACATGCTCTTGGTAGCTGGCACTGTAATTGCAACACAAGAGAGAGATACAAATAGTAATAGATTTTGATCTATTTTTAGGAACCCGTGACTTCGATTTACGAGTGTTGTTTATCGAACGCCTTTCACAGATATGTCAAAGACAAACAGTGATCTATTTTTAGAAAAAAGTTATCATGGTATCCAAAAAGAGTTTGCTTTTCATTCTTTTATGTGTATCCATCTTCGTGCTTTATTGTTCTCATGTCTGGGTACTGAATCGCCATAAGTCCCTTCTGCCCAGGATAGGCGGCAAAATACTAGAACTACGCCGTACACAGAATGCGGAAATGAAAGAAATTGCCAAGTTAGCCATTCTAAAGAATTCACTTGATGTAAAACCGCCGACTGCCAGACCAGACAGCTGTAACGCTTGCTTTAAGAACGACTTTACTTACCTGATTAACAACCACATTTGTGAGGGATACGCGGAAGTGGACATACTTGTCCTGATTCTGACCGGTCCGAACAAGTTCCAACAACGACAAAGCATCCGTGAAACATGGGGCGCCCTCTGCACGAAAAAGCACCATATAGCATGCGTTTTTATTCTTGGACTCACAGAGGACGCAAAAGTGATGGAAGGAATAAAATCTGAAAATGTGAAACATTCAGACATCGTCCAGCTTGATTTTAAAGAAAGTTACGGTAACCTGACCTATAAGACGATGTCGGGCTTCAGGTGGTCTCATGACTTTTGTTCTGGCGCGAAATTTGTGATGAAAGCAGATGGTGATATGTACATAAACTTGGAACTTATTCCTATCCTCCTGCGGGCCGTACCAATGGGGAAATTTTACGGAGGTTTCTGCTGGGAAGAACAGAGTCCGCACCGAGAAAAATCTTCTAAGTGGTATGTCTCCTTCAAAAGTTACCCTCATGAAAATTTCCCGCCAGTTTGTTCGGGGACAGCTTACATCCTAAACTCAGAATTCTTAATTGGTTTGTTAAACGTTAGCAGAAATATTCCATTCTTTCATTTGGAAGACGTATTCATAGGGATGGCAGCAAAAGCCTTAAACGTGAGACCAGTGACCTTGAAAGGATTTGCAAACATGCGCACTGAATTTACTCCTTGTTCTTATAGGAACGAGGTCATGACCTCACATTATGTTGACTCTAATACACTGAGGCAGTACTGGACAAAGAGTCGGGAATGTGCCTTGGCGGCGCATACACCAGAAAAATTATATGTAGCCAATAAAATATGACAGAAATAAATGTTTATTTAAACATGTTTTTGCTATCCTTTTTTATTCCAAATATCTCCAGTAAGTTTTCAATAAACTCACTCTATCACTGAATTCTATATATTTCACAGTAACCCAACAATCAATTCTCTGCCACACACTTATTGTTCAATGTTCTTGTTACTTACCTCATCATTGCATGGACTAACCAACCAAAAGCCTTGATAATAACGATGTGAAAAGGGCTATACCTTGACCAATCAGAGACTTTGATGAACATTTTTTAGATAGGACTACATGTATATCCTAACCAATCACATACCTTGATAAACATTACTGGGATGGGACCTATACCCTAACCAATTAGATAATATTAATGCGGACAGACCTATATCCTCACCAGTCAGAAGCCTTGATAAACATTATTGGGAAGGGACCAATACTTTAACCATTCAGAAGCCTTGATAATAATGATGTGGACAGACCTATATACTAACCAATCAGAAGCCTTGACATTATTGGGATGAGACTATATTCAGGATTTGAACTTGTTTCTTATCCTGAGAAAAATTTGCCAGTGACAAATCTTAATTGTGATCAAAACTGAAATTAAAAACAAAAAATCTATCTGTATATCTGTTGATTCAGATCAGGCCCATAGGAAGCAATTTCAGTTGGGAAAGGGGGGGGGGGGTCATTTTCAGTTTAGGTTGGCACTACCAAGTAAAATTTCCTTGACAAGCAAAACAGTCATCAGATGTAATTACATGTACCATACTGAGGGGCACATCTATAAAGTAGCTTTATTGTCAATGTATACTATTTATATCAGCAAAACGATTGGGGCCCCTCCCCATCCCCCAGTTCCTATGGTCATGAAATATTTAATCAAAACATTAAAGAGTGTATTAGTACTAGTATTTAGTGTACATGTATTAGTACTAGTATTTAGTAATTATTAGTACTAGTATTTAGTCATATTTTAGCTTTACAGATGATATACCAATTTTACAAAAATGGTTTAAATATAGAATAAAACTGGAAACTGTATCGTAAACACAATCACTCTGGTGTGTCATCCCAAGGTGTAGATTCATAAAGGTAGTCAAAACTTCCTGTTTATTATTTCTTTGTACTCAGGTAGGCAATATATTTACTTTTTTTTTATTTTAGTTGGACATTACAAATTAGCTCTAAAAAGGGTAATTTAAAATATAACTAAACACAAAACAAGCTGTTCTTAATATGTTTAGATTGAAGTTTATTTGAGAAAACATGTCATTAAAACATTTCATAACAAACAGTATTGTAAAAAGTTAGAGGCCTACTTATGTACAAATATTGCATCAAAAGTGTTCAAATATCGCATATGATTCTAAAACAAGAATTCCCCAAACACTATCAGAGTGCAATACAGCATTAATAATAAAACACATGATCACTTTAAATGCAAGAAAACACAAAGGTCATGCAATTCTGAAGGTACACTGAAAGCCAGTCAGTGTTTATGAACTCACAAATACATAATATCAATGTCAATGGAATTTTTTTTATATATTTGTTTGAAGAAATGTTCATGTATTTAAAACAACACATCTTTTATCTTGGAAGGGGATGTGAGTGTTATCAAAAACCTTATATCTGTTTTTATTAATAAATTTTCATATTACCTTTAAGTCTCTTCAGGTAAGATTAATATCTACATTACATAACATTCTCATCTCATACAACAATGAAAATTTACACATGGAAGGTCTCCTTGGATATCCATTATTACTGACAACAACTGTTATACACTGTAAAATCACCATTATCAATAATATTTTAACAGATATCACCTATCATTTGGATATATCCAGAATATCAGTAATATATCAACTTATATCAGCTGGACTTATCTGGAACATCAGTAATCTATCAACTTATATAAGTTAGCTTGAACTGGAATACATGTATAAATATGGATTATCAGTTGGTATCAGTTGGATTTATCTGGATTATCAGTTGGATGTATGTGGATTATCAGTAAGCCTGAGAGGCTTCTGTTGACACCACAGATGTCCTCCGTGATATGGATTTGACCTTCATACTCTTGACGGACTTGGCTGGTTTGGGGGTGGACGTATTTAACATCTGTTTACCAAGCTGGAGCCCGATACTCTGTAGACTTGATTTAGCCATCCCAGCTCCAAGTTTTCCTTTCAATCCCATAATTCCAGGCTACAAAAGAAAATGGGTCTGCTCATGAGCACAACAAGTACTAGTCTGGCAGGAAAATGGCAGACTTCAAACAGAAAAATACACAACTCACAGCAGGTCCATAATGTGTTAAGAAATTCCAGATAAATTATAATTATATATGATTTATCCATAATATTTAATGCACACATACACACAACAATATCTAATGTAAAAGAATATAGTTTTATTGTAGCTAACCCAGTTTGAATCAACATCATTTTTTTCTCCTGTATTATCCCATATTCTGACTTCATTTTTATTGTTAACTGGGCTTTAGTGTTTGTAATAAACTGATTAAAGAAAAGTTGTCAGAAAAAATATCTTACAGCATTGGAGGAGTTTCCTTGACTTAATTGTCGTCGATGATAATCTTTCATCTTGGCTTCAAAATCCAGAATGTATTTTGGGAAAATTTCCTTCTCTGGAACAGGTTGTTTTAGTGCTGAAAAAGATTGAATTAAAATTAGTTTTGAAATGAAGTAAGCATACTGGGTATCAAATTTTTACTTTGCTATGCTTGTTAAAAGTGTGTAAAGTGTGATGAAAGGATAGAGGGAAGGACAGAAGGATGGAAAACAGACAGACGGATGATTTACGTGACAAACACTATATGCCCCCGCTGTATTCATGGCGGGGCATAAAAATGTGAAAATAATGTACACAATTTCATGTACACTATGTACACATTTTGTATATTACACTTTGTTGATGTATAAAGTTTCAGTGCTTACTGTCCACAAGGTTAGGAAGTTTTGGCAGGATAGAAGTTGTTGACCCACTTTCTGTGTATGTCATACTCACTGTCCACAAGGTTAGGAAGTTTTGGCAGGTTAGAAGTAGTTGACCCACTTTCTGTGTATGACATACTTACTGTCCACAAGGTTAGGAAGTTTTGTTCGGTTAGAAGTAGTTGACCCACTTTCTGTGTATGACATACTTACTGTCCACAAGGTTAGGAAGTTTTGGCAGGTTAGAAGTAGTTGATACACTTTCTGTGTACGACATGTTGGGTTTCTTTGGAGGTTCAAAGTCCTGTATCACCTGTGTATCCAGCGACTGAAAAGACATTAATTTTATACACTGCAGTAATTAAAATACATATGATATTGTACTTGCATGTTATTTTAGGAATGACTCTAATTCTTGGCCAAATTATTCGAGGATAACCTGGTTTGGGTCAGTTTACGCTTTATAATCCGCGAAGCAGATTATAAAACAGTGTAAACTGACCCAAACCAGGTTATACATAATTTAATTCTAAAATAATTAAATAACTATGGGTGTAAAATTCGTTGCTTTTTATTAGTTCAAATTTGCCGCTCAATAATACAAAGTAACGGAAGTAACAGAAGTGATGGGAAGTGTGGGGAGGTAAAAACTGATACATAGGCCTAGCAGCCTTGTTGTTTGTTTACATGCGGTAAGATCAAATTATTGTTTGAAGTTAAGGGTACATTTATAAAATCTGGAATTTTCCATGAATCCCAAGGACTGGAAATGAGAGGATTGTATGGATACAGATGATTCAGCTGGTTGTCAGGGGGTGTGTCCCCATACCAAACCAGGTTATACAGAAATAATTTGTGTTCCTTTTTGGATATTAACCAATCAGAGGCTAGAATACAAACAAAATTAAATTATTTGATATTAAGGAGCAAGGACCCTTTGCAAGGAGAGATAACTCTAACAAGGACAGTTCATTATGTTTTTTTTTTTTATAAAATTTAATGATAGTCTAAAATTTTTCTTATCTAATACCAATTTTTTAAATACTTATTTTGCTTAGATTTCACATTTTCTCTCTCACTGGATATGACGTACTTACAGAGTAAGGCCCCGCTGGAGCATGCCCAGTCCTCTCCCAGTGCAAGTATGGCAGATCTGGTATGGTACTCGGCTGTTTTCTCTCCCGTTTTTTCACCCGAAGTTCTTGGTAATGTTTGCCTGTAAAAAAAAGAAACTTATCAAATAATGTATCTCCCTCATTATCAGTAAAACCATAAAACCTACCTGGTACATAACAGAATTTTGTTCCATGTATTCATGTGGTGGTGTCTTTGGTCGACAAGTCCTTGACCTACCTAACAGAGTTTTATTCCAAATGTTAATGCAGTAGTGTTCTGGGTCAGTGTCAGACATACCTAACAGTTTTAAACCATATGTTGAAGTGATGGTGCTCCAGGATGTCAAGTTACCTAATAGAGTTTTATTTCCTATGTTGATGTGGTGGTGTTCTGGGTTCAGTGACACACCTAACAGAGTTTTGTTCCACGTGTTAATGCGGTGGTGCTTGGGGTCGGTGACCTACCTAACAGAGTTTTGTTCCACGTGTTGATGCGGTGGTGCTCTGTTACCTACCTAACAGAGTTTTGTTCCACGTGTTGATGCGGTGGTACTCGGTGACCTACCTAACAGAGTTTTGTTCCACATGTTGATGCAGTGGTGCTCTGTGACCTACCTAACAGAGTTTTGTTCCACATGTTGATGCAGTGGTGACCTACCTAACAGAGTATTGTTCCACGTGTTGATGCGGTGGTGCTCGGGGTCGGTGACCAACCTAACAGAGTTTTGTTCCATGTGTTGATGCGGTGGTGACCTACCTAACAGAGTTTTGTTCCACATGTTGATGCAGTGGTGCTCAGTGACCTACCTAACAGAGTTTTGTTCCACTTGTTGATGCAGTGGTGCTCAGTTACCTACCTAAGAGAGTTTTGTTCCATGTGTTGATGCAGTGGTGCTCTGTGACCTACCTAACAGTGTTTTGTTCCACGTGTTGATGCGAGGGTGCTCCAGGTTGGTGACCTACCTAACAGAGTTTTGTTCCACATGTTGATGCAGTGGTGCTTAGTGACCTACCTAACAGCGTTTTGTTCCACGTGTTGATGCGGTGGTGCTCCGGGTCGGTGACCTACCTAACAGAGTTTTGTTCCATGTGTTGATGCGGTGGTGACCTACCTAACAGAGTTTTGTTCCACATGTTGATGCAGTGGTGCTCAGTGACCTACCTAACAGAGTTTTGTTCCACTTGTTGATGCAGTGGTGCTCAGTTACCTACCTAAGAGAGTTTTGTTCCATGTGTTGATGCAGTGGTGCTCTGTGACCTACCTAACAGTGTTTTGTTCCACGTGTTGATGCGAGGGTGCTCCAGGTTGGTGACCTACCTAACAGAGTTTTGTTCCACATGTTGATGCAGTGGTGCTTAGTGACCTACCTAACAGCGTTTTGTTCCACGTGTTGATGCGGTGGTGCTCCGGGTCGGTGACCTACCTAACAAAGTTTTGTTCCACGTGTTGATGCGGTGGTGCTCTGGGTCAGTGACAGCCTCCTCGTCTGGTTCCCAGTCCTCCTCCTCCTCCTCTTCCTCAGCTTCCTGTTCTTTACTCTCCTCGATCTCCTCCTGAAGGGAAACAAAAAATACACAATGTTAGGTTATTTTTTTTTAATACAGCAAATTTGGCCTATTGCAACATTTTCTAAAGGCCAATTAAAATGTTTGCATTCTACAGGCCAATCAAACTACTAGCCAATAAAAAATTTCTGTATTGTATAGGCCAATCAAAATGTCCTTTCTATAGCATAATCAACCAATTCTACAGGCCAACCAAAATGATTTTCTGTTTTTATACAAGATGTCATTTTGATTCTATTTCAGTTTCTCTTGTGGTTATTATGATATTTACATGTTTATGTCTAAAAGGAAGAGTTTCTTTGTAAAAATTTGAGAATTTTAATGATAACATAAAATAACAGCCAATTTAAGTGTATATGTATTACAGATATTCAGGTGTTTTTTATGTTTCATTGGCTATATTTTATATTCAGGTCTTTTAAACACAGAAACTAAGAGAGAATACACAATTCAAGTCAACAAAAAACTAACCAAAAATCAACACTGGCTAAAAGATTACAAATTATGGATAATGATTTTAAAAATTATCTATAGACAACATTGCTTTCCAGGAACAACCATTGAATTATTATATCTACATATTTTCAAAAATTTAGATTATCTAGTAAATTAAGTTATAATTCACCCAAACCAAAACTAGCTAAGAAATTTCATGATAATATACAAAAGTGATTAGAGGCAAGTCTATCTAATTATATAGAAATTACAATACTGCTTGACTGACAGAACAAACAAGTTGTTCTGTGTAATTCAAGAAATGAATTACATTAAGACAAGTTGATATTGCAAGCCAGCGTTTTAGAGTTTTGCAACAGAGTCAGTGAGCAGGAGATCACTTGGTTGCAATGCTCACCTGAAGAAACAAATACATGTTCTGGTACATGAATCCCACTTTTATGTGCCCTTCACTTGAGTGCTGACCACAATTGAACAAAAAAGTTAATATACAATGTTACATTGCTTTACATCAATACTGTACAAAAGGAAATTTTTTTCCCTGTTTTATTTTCACCCCTTAATTTGCCTTCTTCGTGAGGACAAATTAAAAACAAGCTGAATTAAAAAAGACAGCATTATTTCATGAATAAAACTGTGTCTGGGCAAATTTAAAATGGGGCAAAAATTTCCAAGTGTGAAAGGGTGAAAATAGCCATGGGCAAAATTAACCCTGAATACAGTATTACAAATTAACATTTAAAATCCCCCACCCATTCCCCCACCGTGACCCAATCCCAGCCCCCCTCCCAGTTCTTGAATCTACCCTACATTAAATGATTGGATATTTATCAGACTACTGGTCTGTTCCTCGGGAAAAGAATTTCAAATAATACCCCCAATATGAATATTTATGTATATCTAGTATAAACTTTGACCAAATACTCTGGCCTAGGTGAGCTAAAACATCTGGCTTGCGTTGTTACTTTCAAGATAACATGTTTCATAGACCTACCATAAATTAATAAAGAATGGAAAAATATATGTGTTTACTGAACAGAAGTTAACTCACCATATGAGAAATTTGTGGTTGCTTGAGACAGAAAATATTACCATAATACAAAAATGTAATATGCATTTGTGTTAAAGGATTGATCTTTCCTAGTTTTCTTGTAAAAATGGAATACATGTACATTAGTTCACTTAATAATTGACTTGTTTCATCAAATAAAACTACATTTATCCAAATACAAAGGTATTATATAATTACATTAGGAGGACCAATCTCGGGACAGACCTACATGTATATACGGGTCCTACCTCACTCTCCACTTCCTCTATGAACTCCTCCGCTGGGTCGTACGGCTCTATCTTCCAGTGATCCTCCTACAGGAAACAGTTACAATATTTAAGATACATAAAGACAGAGTATACTGACGTTATAATTAGGTTCCTTCATACTGAGAAATCACTAACTTTCATGGGGGTTTAATTTTCATTGTTTTCACTGTGTGAAGAGACCCACAAATTTATATCCATCACGAAATGTTAAATTCCATATATAACTACTCAACAATTCTTCATCCATGAAATCAAATCCCCACAAACATAATTATATTTTTTCTTAAAACTTTGAAAATCTGACCCCACGAACATTTGTGACTGTACAGTATGAGATACATAACGACAGAGTACACTGAAGTTATAATTAGAGTGTACTGTACTGACTACGTCCAAATTTATCTATTTCTAACAACCATTTTACAATAGAGTGTCTCACCTGTCCAAATATTCCGATGAGATTTCCAAGTACGTCATACATGGCGACACTGCAGTCTGAGGAAGCTGATATGATGAGGACTCGTTCGTTTCTCTCACACATTTCTAACGTGTTGATCATGTCAGAGTGAGCTTGGAACTGACACTTCTGGGCTAAAATAGAATAAAATCAAGAATACAATTCAAATTCATCAGCAAAAACTGTATATTCACATACAGAATTGGATCTTGAGTACCGGTACAATTGATTGTTCTTTATCTCTTATGTCACTTTGTAAACATGGGAGTAGGCACAGCAATACAATAACTGTTACTTATGAAGTCTTCATGCAGATTCATTTCCTTAGTCCACTGGGATAAAGAAATCTTGGTGTAATATTTGTTAATTAATTTGCCTGTTTACACTTACGTGGTGAAGTTGTGATGATATCGTCCGCAGCCTGAACACAGTACTCTGTAATGTCCCACACTTTAATCAGGCCATCTACGTCACCAGTCGCCATGTAGCGATTCTTCTTGTCTGTGGCCATCAGAACACTTCCAGCTGTTCAAAGGAAATCAGAAGAAAAATGATTGTTGTTTCACATCTAACAGATACTTAATCAGTTAATTTACAATCTTCAGGAGTTTCAAAAAATCTTGAAAAAAAAGTTTAACTGAAGAAGATAGAAGTAGCCTCTTTATATTGCCTTAAGGATCATTGTACATATACCCCGTACAATCATGTATAATTTGTCTTTAATGATGACTTTTCAAATGAAATATAAATTTTAATTGAAATGCAAAAAAATTCAGCATACCTAGTGGTGCAAAATATGACAGAAATGACCTTTTAACTTTTTTTTTTAACAGGGAAAATACAATATAGTCATATAATCCAGTAAGAGTTATCTTTCTTATTAAAGGGATGGTGAACCTTAAAACAAAAGTTTGAATGAAAAAATACTGACATTGTTGGTGGGCCACGAACTCGCCAATCAGTCTGGTGTGGGCGGTGTTCCAGAATCGGATCCACCCATTCCCTCCCCCAGATATCATATTAGCTCCGCCTCCCGCTGAGTTTCCCTTTCTGGTCTCTAGGAAAATGAGCTTAGCAACAGCCAATCCAAACTCATTCTGAAGATTATTTCAAAAACAAAGCTGAGCATACATATTACATACACTGTACATCCTTTACAACCATTTTCAAGTTACTGATAATTTAATCTTCTTGTATTTCGTAACATTATTTTCATTAAATTTTATTTCATTCTTTTCTCCAAGAATGGTTAAAGTAAAAGGGTTTTTAGCTTCTTGCATCATTCAAATATAAACTTGTTTGCGTTGTTTCCTTCTTCTCAATCAAAAACTCGGCCATTCCTTACCGTGTCGTCTGCTCCACTGGTCTGACTTTTCCCGCTCTTTTGTGACGTCTTAGATACTGGCCTTTGTGAAGAGGCAGACTTGGAACAAATATAAAGAAATGATTTTTAACATTCTGAGATAACTTTAAACATAAGTGTTTTCTTTTAAGATTTTGAAATTAGGGATTTTCTACATATTTTTGTCTTGAGAAGCTGAATAAAAATATAGTCCCCTTATACCCTAATAGAAGTAAGGTAATTTCCTACAATTTTTTTAACATACAATGTTATTCTGAAAACCATTGCTTCTGGGCTTGCCAGTTTACCTTGAGTTTTGAACACTGCCAAATCCTTCAGAAATGAGTTGAAAACATTAAAATGATTAAAAGAAGCTGACTCAATTTTCTTCTTGATCAAAATATTAACACAACATAAAAACAGGAGCTATGTTTAACTGTTCCAAACTTTAAATGACACACTCATCTCTTTTCTTGCCTGCATGAAGGACTTTTGTCGAGATTTGACCATTAGTTATACAAACTCACCTCTTTTCTTGCCTGCATGAAGGACTTTTGTCGAGATTTGACCATTAGTTATATAAATTCACCTCTATTCTTGCCTGCATGAAGGACTTTTGTCGAGATTTGACCATTAGTTATATAAATTCACCTCTTTTCTTGCCTGCATGAAGGACTTTTGTCAAGATTTAACCATTAGTTATACAAGCTCACCTCTTTTCTTGCCTGCATGAAGGACTTTTGTCGAGATTTGACCATTAAGCGTCTGGACCTCTGATTAAGTCGTCTGGACATGTGTTCCGAGTTAGTATTCCATATCACTATCTCACCATCATAACTTCCTGTGGCCAAGTGATTCGGTCCAGTGAATGCACAACACAAAATGTCCTCACTGTGCTCCTAAAATCAATCAACCAGAAACTTTAAAACAATTAATACAAGACTGGTTATTGTCCTAAGTAGATTCTGAACACTTATAATAAACATTTCTACTTTGATTGAAATCGAGCATGATATCATGTCAGAACAAAGGTAATCTATACAGCAAATAATGATATCATGTCAGAACAAAGGTAATCTATACAAGCAAATAATGATAAAAACAAATCTTGATCAATGAAAGCTGCAAAAATTAAGAGAAAAACTTTTAGACTGAGGAATATGACTCACTAGATGGTGCTATATTGCTGATCTGTATCATGTAGTTACTACTGACAGTGTGTGAACATTTGTAATAATCCTTGATTATAATATCATTCAACGAACTTTAACAGCTTAAATAATTCTGAGTAGGGCATTGCTAAGATTAGTAACAATTCTGGTGAATATTAACATACGAATACTATCAACATCTACACTGGTTATCGTTCAAAATAAGGACAATAGTACTACAATGTGTCAGTCTGAAAATGGGATCTGAAAAGCTATATGTTTAATGGCAAACTCTCTCTCACTCTGGTCAAAGCTATTATAACTTTAACAAGGGAATTAACTAACTGACTTCTGAGCTGGTTGCTGGTGTTGGTATTATGATTTTGTGCAAGGATAAACAGTTTGAGTCAGATATTGATTTTGGATTGAGCAGGGAAGAGTGTTTGGGATATGAGGTATACATAAGACTGACTCTCAGTATTATTTTGACATGGCACTGGATTAATTAATTCTAATTACTTACAAAGATATGCTGCAATTGATTAATTCTAAGCTTACAAAATTTGTATAATGTAAAATGTACATGTACTAAGTTGCCTTGAATAGGAATGCAACCAATCAAGATGTTGTTAAAAGCAAGCATTTGAAATAAAATGTTAATTTACAACCCACAACCTTAAAGAAAGAAAAAAGGAAATATTATATTAAATTATTATATTGAATAAATATAATATTAGCATAAACGTTTAAAAAATTGTCCTGAAAAAAGATTCACAGAAAATTTATAAGCAAATCATACCCAAAGCAATTTTCTTCTTACATAAAAAAGAATACTGGAAAACGAAAAAAACTTGGCGCATACATATTTTAGTTCAAATGCAAGTGGGAATGCATAAATTTTAGCGCTTGTCATTAAAATATATAAATGTGATATTTTTTTCCTTTGATCTGTGCCTGTATTTCATTTTGTCGTCACTCAAGCATGCAAACACAATAGCATTGAATTCTAACTCACATACACAGGTAAACATTTGTTCACTTTTCCATGGTGTTGCAAGCACATGGAAGTGGCACAATGTCGATTTTAAACTTTTTTTTTTAATAAAGGAAAACATGAATGTTCCTCAGTAAATGATTGTAGGGTCTTCATGAATTTCATTCATATTAAAACCATGAATGCATCAAAGGAATGTCACTTGGATAACTGGTATACACAGTCAGGTATTGTCTGCATGGTCCTGGTCATGCTTGATCGAATTGCACTAATATTAGTAGTGTGCCATATTTTCTCGTTTTACAGTACTGCCAATTATCTCTAAGAAAAACAAAAGATTCTGCAATGTACTGTTTAACACAAAGCAGTGAGTGTCATAAGTCTGATGCTTCAGAACACACAGACAAAAAATACATACATACAGACACACACAGACACATTTCCACCTTCCCATTCTGCTGGTTATACATGGAAATAACAGACAGACAAAGACACGCAGACAAACACACAGTCAGACAGACAATCCTACCTTTCCACCTTTCCACTCTGCTGGCTGTACATGGAAGTCTTTAAAGGAAGCTGTTGGGAAAACTGTGATTTGTCTGGAAAGAAACCCCTGACATTTAATGGTTTATCTCACCACCATCATCTCATATACTTGTCTCCAGTATAAGAACCCCCCAACCCTGTAGACTTATATCTTAGATCCTCCCTTTTATTATCTTAAATTTACTACTAAGTACTTGGTTCATACACCATCACACTTCCCTTTCAGTAAAGGATCCCCCCATCTCTGTATTACATCTTAGATCCTTCCTTCAATATCTTAGATCCATTTACTTGGTCCATCCTACCACCATCAAACTTCTCTTCAGGTTTAGACACCCCCTCAACCCGCCATTTCTATTTCATTGGATTTTATATCCCTCTTTTATTGTTCTAGAACACCTACTTACTTGGTCCAGCATACCACCATTACACTTCTCTTCAGATAAGGATCTGCCCCCCTCCCCCACCCCACCCCACTATTGTATTAGATCCTAGATCCACCCCTCTATTTACTTACTTGGTTCAGCCTACCAACACTACACTTCTCTTCAGATTAAAATCTGTCCCCACCATTGTATTGTATTAGATCCTAGATCCACCTCTCCATTTACTTACTTGATCAAACCTACCACCACTACACCTCTTCAGATTAAGGATCTGCCCCCCCCCCTATATTGTATGAGATCCTAGATCCACCCTTCTATTTACTTACTTGGTCCAGCCTACAACCACTACACTTCTCTTTAGATTAAAAAATCTGTCCCCACCATTGTATTGTATTAGATCCTAGATCCACCCCTCCATTTACTTACTTGGTCCATCCTACCACCACCACACTTCTCTTTAGATTAAGGATCTGTTCCCCCACCCCTGTATTGTATAAGATCCAAAATCCACCCATCCATTTACTTACTTGGTCCATCCTACGACCACCACACTTCTCTTTAGATTAAGGATCTGTCCTATATCAGCTGGCTGTCCCCCAGCACACTCCAGAGTGTGGAAGCAGTGTCCATTAAAATCCCACACCTGATGACATGAAAATAAACATACTGTATTTAATGAGTGTACAATAAGCCCCTTACCATACAAAATATACTACCATATATTAAGTGGATTTTTTAGCGAGACACAAATTTAGTGATTTTTCCTTAAAGATAAGCATTACATTTTAGCAAGAAGTAGTTTTAGTGATTTAATGATGCCTAGAAAGACAATGATACCTTCCAATGCAGAATGAATTGTTAGCGATATTCAATTTTAGCGATCCGAACATCCTTGCTAAAAATGCCAAAATTGAATCCTTGCTACATTTTCTACTAAGTCTTATACCGTAGCAGAATCAAAAAATTGCTCTCTTGCAAAAGAAATAAAATTCTGTAGTATAAAGATTTGTGACCTTGACTCCTTACCTTGACAGTTCCGTCGGTACTTCCTGTGAACAGTTTGGTTTCCGTGGGATCCTGGGCCAGACATGTGACCTCGGCATTAGAGTGAGTATTGTTAAACTGTTTGACCTTTTGACCTGTGTCAATCATCCACACAATCATGGTGCCAGCCTGGCAAACACTGATCACCTACAATAAAAAAACATACAAGGAATGTTAAAGAATGTGACACAATTCACCACACCTATTGACCTTGATCTTCAGTGTGACAAACTAGGAGCTACTTGACAAATGCTTTTTTTATGTATTGCCATCCATAACTGCTGATCTGAGTCTACAAAGGGTTATAATCGAGTAATTTAGGCTGGACTGAGGACATCGGCCTGGACAGCTTAGTGGTTATAGCACCTGACTAGTAATGCAGCAATCTGGGTTCTATTCCCGGTCCAGTCATATGTTTTTCATTATATATGTATTTATGAATTTTCAATGTATGTTAACTCATTCCTCCTTTCCATGATACAATTATATAACTCACCTGATTGTAAACAGAGTTATAAATAGCTGATGTGACCGGTTTCTCGTGAGACATGATTTTGTCTCGATTTTCAGTCTTCATCTCCATCAGCGTAATCTGGTAATTAAACGTAATTAACATCTTGTTTCTTTCCATGCCTGAACGATCCTTCTCCTCGTCAAAAAACAGTGTGCTCACAACTGTCAATCAAGCATGGTAATCATTTTAGAGTAAAATTAACATCTTTCAAATAACAACATAACGCGATTAAAAAAACAAAGGACATGCAGTTTAAAGAAATCTGTAAAATTAAGGAAAGGGATGATGAAAAAGTAGAATCATATTCACTCAAACATTACTGAATCTACGTATTAAACGAATTCATGAATTGCTTAAAAAAAAAAATGGAATCATATTAATTAAGTTGAATAATCTTGAACTGATATAAAACAACACTTCTAATGATTATCTACCTTCTGGTCCCTTGGGGAACATCCCGGCCAGTCTCTGTATACACACTTGTAGCTGTACGTCCCAGATCCTGAGTACTTTATCCTTAGAGAAGCTGATCAGCTGACCGCGACTCTTGATGAACTGGACTTGTATGACACTGGCCATGTGACCTCGGAGGACACCGTTAGGTTTAGACACGATGTGGGGGTTCCACAGACATACGTGGTGGTTCACGCCGGCCGTGGCTGAGGATAAATATGGAGCACAGTTAAAATAATCAACACATAGCACAAATCATAGTGGAATTATTTTAATTCATGGAAGTCGTTGATCGTGGGCAACCAAATTTTTATTGTATCAAGGGGAAGTAGTTTGTGGGTAACTAACAGAAGATTAAATGAATAAAATAATTGTTCCTGGGTATGTACATTCATTGGCAAGGGTGACCCACGAAATCCATGAACATTGGTCCCCAACAAACAAAGATGATTCTACAGTATCTAAAAATCTACAAAACTATAAATGAAGTTTTGATTTTGATAATAAAATATTTACATTTCCAATGTCTTTGTCCGAGATAAAATTACAAATTGTAAAAATACTTTATTTCTACATAAATCTACTAGTTCATCAATAGGCACGGTTAAAAAAAATCACGTGCGGGGCAGGACAAACAGAGACAGAAGCGGGGCTTGTAGCACGTGAATTTGCAGAATCAGGAGCATGTAAATATAAGGAATAACTGTCAGATTTTTTGGATTCATGACGATGATCAATCGATTGGCTTGCGTGATAATTTTATGCATAAACGCCTTCGGCGTTTATGCAAATTATCACGCAAGCCACTCAATTGATCACATCATGAATCCAAAAAATTAGACAGTTATTCCTTAAATACTGTGTAATCATCAACGTAGGGGATGAGTGTGTGGATTTCACGAGTCACACCCACCAATTTATATCTCCATGAATGATATCTTTATCAATGAAAATATGAGTTCCCTACAATTTACATCCCCACAAACCAGTAAAATTTGGATTGCCCACAAACATTAACTCCCGTGAATTCAAATGATTTTATAGTAAATGGACAATTTAGTGAATGAAATGGTTCACTGGTTATAAGCTGTTTGAACCAATCATGTAAAAAATCCACTGGTAACATTTAGACCTGAGAATGCTCCATTTTATCATAATCTGTTTAAACAGGAACAATTTTATCTGGCTTAGTTAGTCTAGAGGAGATCCTTTCTTAGGATGTCTGAGTCAACCAAAGCTTTTCTTAGACCCCCCCCCCTTCCTTCCCCTGCCTTCAGAAATTGAGGTGTATCTGAGATCTACAACTCACCAATAATGTTTAAATGCTGGTTGTAGTCAAAAGTGCTCACTCCCTGAGAAATGTTGAAGCTGGATCTAAAAATATATAGAAATAAGTTTCAACAAAATGTGAAAACATAGGCCACATCGCTCACCTGAGTAACTTTGGCCATGCTGTTCATTACCGGACTTCCCCCTTGTAATACCTATTGTGGCCCCGCCCTACCCCCGGGGGCCATAATTTGAACAATTTAGAATCTACACTACCCCAGGATGCTTCCACATAAATTTCAGTTTTTCTGGTCCAGTGGTTCTTGAGATTTTTAAAGATTTTTCCTATATATTTCAATGTTTCCCTATTGTGGCCCCGCCCTACCCCGGGGGTCATGATTTGAACAGTTTAGAATCTACACTACCCCAGGATGCTTCCACATAAGTTTCAGCTTTTCTGGCTCAGTGTTTCTTGAGAAGAAGATTTTTAAAGATTCTTCCTATATATTTCAATGTAAAACTTGTATTCCCTATTGTGGCCCCGCCCTACCACCGGGGGTCATGATTTGAACAATTTAGAATCTATACTACCCCAGGATGCTTCCACATAAGTTTCAGCTTTTCTGGCTCAGTGTTTCTTGAGAAGAAGATTTTTAAAGATTCTTCCTATATATTTCAATGTAAAAATTGTATTCCCTATTGTGGCCCCGCCCTACCACCGGGGGTCATGATTTTAACAAATTAGAATCTACACTATCCCAGGATGCTTCCACATAAGTTTCAGCTTTTCTGGCTCAGTGGTTCTTGAGAAGAAGATTTTTAAAGATTTTTCCTATATATTTCAATGTAAAACTTGGATTCCCTATTGTGGCCCCGCCCTACCCCCGGGGGTCTTGATTTTAACAATTTAGAATCTACACTATCCCAGGATGCTTCCACATAAGTTTCAGCTTTTCTGGCTCAGTGGTTCTTGAGAAGAAGATTTTTAAAGATTTTTCCTATATATTTCAATGTAAAACTTGGATTCCCTATTGTGGCCCCGCCCTACCACTGGGGGTCATGATTTGAACAATTTAGAATCTACACTATCCCAGGATGCTTCCACATAAGTTTCAGCTTTTCTGGCCCAGTGGTTCTTGAGAAGAAGATTTTTTAATGACCCCACCCTATTTTTGTCTTTTCCTGATTATCTCCTCTTGTAAGGGGACTTGGCCCTTTACTTTAACAATTTAAACTCCCCTTCACCCAAGAGTACTTTGTACCAAGTTTGGTTAAAATTGGCCCAGTGGTTCTCGAGAAGAAGTTGAAAATGTGAAAAGTTTACAGACGGACGGACGGACAGACGGATGGACAAGGGGTGATCAGAAAAGCTCACTTGAGCTTTCAGCTCAGGTGAGCTAAAAAGGTCTTTAATATAAATTTTAACAACAAATGAAAAGTCCCCTACTCAGATGGTAAGATAATTGAATTTCTCTGGCTCTGATATTTTTTTTTATTAAAAGTAGAACATGTAACTTACATTCTCTGAATCTTCTTGGTTGTTCCTTGGTCCCTGCAAAAATAGAAACCGTATTCTGAATTCCTAAAGAAATTCTATCCTTTCTTTGGAGACTAAAGAGTCTGGAGTCCTAATTAAATTCACATTATGTCACAGGAAAAACTACTCAGTAAAATGATCACTGGCACTGAAGGTTACAGACTTTTAAATCATTCAAACAAATTTACCGCCAAATATTGAAATGGAGTAAAGAGTTTAAAATTATTTTAAAAAGCAGTACATAATTTTCACTTTAAAATCAATCAAAAATATGAGAAAGGGTGGACTAAACCAGAAAAAAAACTACTCCATTACTAATCCAATACTAGAATTTGTACAATTTACCTAATACAGTAAAATTCTTTTATAACGTACTTGGTTATAAAGTATCTCCGGATGTAAAGTAGCCATTCCGTAGTCCCGGCAACGTGTCTATATATTTCATTGGAAAAAACACCGCTTACAACGTATTTGTATATAACGTAGTATCGCTTATAAAGTATTAGAAATTTGGTCCCGTTACATAATTACACCTCTTATAACGTATTCTGACACATGGTTTCACACCTTTTCAGAGCAATGACTGCGGATTAGTCACGGTTTGTTGACTTTATAGCTTCTCCGTATGGGTGTTTTTCTAACGAGGTTTCTTTGTTGTTTCAGGTAGATGTATATATTTATAATAAATTGTTTGAATAAAGTTCATCGAGTAGATGTACTCAAAATTGTTTGAATAAAAATTCATCTTTGAGTCAGTAAATAGCAATATAACCGAAAATGATATAATTAAACTTGTGAAAGAAAAATACATTGATTCAATATCAGTAGACAGCGAGGGCGACGAGGTCATGCCTGACACGTGCATACCATCTACCCAGACGATCAAAGGGCATAAGTCCGAAGTTTTCACGACTCTGGCAACTCTGGAGAATTTTGTAAATAAATGTCGTCAGGCCAAACAGACAAACATTACGGACTTTTTATATGATCTGACGATCATCAAGATTGTACAGCACTTAAGTATACCCGTAAATCATTTATTTACGTACTATACATACTTTAAAATATCAATAAGACACTAGCGGTTTGGAAAGTGCTTACGGTAAAGGTGTACTGTGTACTTCCGGTCACCGTTTATAACGTACACCGGAACGTAGGATTTATCACAGTCCCCTGAGATACGTTATAAAAGATGTTTACTGTAGTACACCAAGGAAAGTTTATAATTTTATTGCAAATTCGACAGAAAAGATAATGTTTTTAGAACTGAAAGTTCATAATTGTAATGGAAGTTTGACAGAAAAGAATGTGTTTACAGCTGATCTTACTTGGTGACAGATCCAGTCTTTTTCTCCATCCAGCCAATCACCATAGAGTTTGTACTGGTGGTGGAGCAACTAATGAAACACTCCAAATAATGGGCATACTTCACTGTGGACAAAGAATAGACAAAATGATCGGCATATTTCACTGTGGACAAACACAAAATAGTCAAAATAATGGGCATACTTCACTGTGGACAAAGAATAGTCAAAATAATGGGCATACTTTACTGTGGACAAATACAAATACAAAATAGTCAAAATAATGGGCATACTTCATTGTGGACATTTACAAAATAGTCAAAATAATGGACATACTTTACTTTAGACAATATAGTAATGTCAAAATAATGGGCATACTTTACTGTGGACAAACACAGAATTGTCAAAATAATGGGCATACTTTATTGTGGACAATCACAGAATAGTCAAAATAATGGGCATACTTCAGTGTGGACAAATGCAAAATAGACAATATGGTGAAGTCAAAATAATGGGCATACTTCCCTATGCAGAAATAGAGAATAGTAAGAAATAAATTAGACATATTAATATAGAACAGCCAAAATAAATATAAAATAAACATGAAATCGTCAAATTAATGTGCGATAAACAGTCATGAGATTATCTGTCAAAATATAGGTGAATGTCACTCAATTAAACAAAATAAAACAGTTTAGATTCTTGCAATCAAAGTATCGCAAGTATTCAATGTCAATCTGTATTAGCCACTAAAATCAAAGTACTATGAGGATTCAATGTCAATTCATGTACCAACCTTGTCCTACTCACTGAAATCAAAGTACTACAAGTTTTCAATGTCAATCCCTGTACCTACCTTGTCTCACCCATTCCTTTCTGTGGGCCTCGTGTCGCGTGTACGTTTCATTTTTGAACAGCGTCTCATTTCCAACATCCTGGAGATTTACATTCAAGCATGGCTCTGAAAAACAACAAAATTACCTTGAATGTGGAGAACCTTTTCAGAATTTGGACTCTGAAGTCTTTTTATTATGGTTGTCTTTTGTATTAATTCAAAGCTGATATTAAAAATTATACAGTTTTTAGAACGAGTATATTTTATATCAATATATAAATTTTATACATTAAAAAATTAAAGAATTTTCAGTTTAGATAATAAGAAACAGAATAATTCTTTGAAAGTGAATTAGGAAAGGTCCCCTCCACCATTAACAAATAAGAAAAAAGTTTTTAATTCTAAAGTTATCTGTCATATATCAAAAAAAAAATCTACACAATATTATTATAAAAAAAAACCATAGCACCTCTCAACAAGTAACAATCATATTTAGATTTAAAAAGTATGCTTGTTGCTCTCTCTCACATATTAAAAGAAGAGTAATTAAAATCTATGTACATTTTAAATTGAAAATGAACTAACCTAATCCCTACAACTTGGGCTTTTATGACAAGTGGAACAACACTCTCAGATTTATCATATTGTATCATTCTTCACTTGTCCATGAATGCATCCATTTTTGTGTTTTTCAACGATTCTCAAAAGGCTCCATTTTTTACATATAAATTTTGCTTCTATTATAAAAGAGCAGAAAGTCCAACTCCTGAACCAGGACTTCAACATATTTTTCAGTATTCTTTACTTTTTTCTTTAATGTTTTTTTTAACCATTATTAACCACATTTCAATTATAAAGATACATAAAAATTCATTAAATATGATATACATGTATTTATCAGAGAAGGAATCATAACCTTGGAAAATCTGAATTAATTACAGGTTCACTTAAGATGATTTGTGTGAAGAGTTGCATGATTTCAGAATATGGTCAGGGAATTATGGAATGAACACAGGTATGGCAGAACTAATGGACTTGTATGAAGGAATTGGGAGGGTTCAAGAGAATCTAGAATAAGGTGCAGGTGCTAGCTTTGGATTCAGAGAAATTGGATGCAGGGTTTAGTTTTTGGGAGACAATTGGGGGATAAACAGAAGAAAATTATGAACATCACTTCTGAAGTCATCAATGGGAAATTGAACATGAAATACTTAAAATATAACATAAAAATAGAACCAAAAAGTCAAAACTAATTCAAATCAATTACACTATTCTCTACTAATCTGACTCTAAATTTCAGTAGTTGTATTAAGAAAAATCAGTCATTTCTATCTTTAAGTAACATGTATTAAAACAACACACACTAAAATTACTTTTAAAATAAAAAAAAAGAACAAGGAGGAAACAAAACCTTAAAAAAAATTACTCACCTTCCCAGACTGAGTGTAGATAGTGCAAAGGTTAAAGGTCAGAGTTCGCACACAGCCAACAAAATAAAGCATAATATTGATTAATTTGCATGAAATTAGAGACCAATCAAAATCAGTGATACAGAAATGAATTAATTCAGAGCTGGTGTCCATGGAGATCATTATGATATGATTGTAAAATTAAGAACAGAAATTATGAATTAGGCAATGTCCTTATTATTACAACAATACTGTATATTGACACATTATTACAAGGAATGTGTGATAATGAAATAATAAAATAAGAAATGGGGGGATAACTCCATGAACAACTGCTATGATATCACTTGTGCAAATGAATCATATAAAAAAAGGTTGAAAAATAAAAATTGAAGTAAAAATCTATAGCATTTTCTACTCTGTAAGCAGAATGCAGTGATCTGAAAGAATTCTGCGGATTTCACACGTGTTGACATCTCGGTGAAATTTTCACGCAATATTATCTTACCCACTGTGTTGACAATTTATAAAGAAGAAATTGAATTAATTACAGGTTCATGACTGATAATCTGCATTATTTACAGTTCATTAATAATAATTTATATAGAGCTACTCATTTTCTGAAAATTGTCAGAGAACTAGATTGAGGAACACAACTTTGATTAATTTTACCCCACCCACCCATCCATTTTGCTTTTATTTGTAAAATTCTAAAGAACTTGTTCTTCTACATTTAAAATATCTTATTTTAAGGTCGGGTTTGAAAATCTTGATCAAAGCCTGCATTCCTTAACAAAAGCTACTTTGTATTTCCTATAAACACCACATTACACAGAAACACTGATACAAAACATTGTGCAATTACATAACAATTACATAACAATTACAGTACAAATTACATGTATCCACATGGACAGACAGACCAACAAATGGTACACAAAGCAATGACTGGCCTCCTACTATGTGTGCTGGTACATACACAATGCACAGAATAAATGATAAGATCTAAAGCAAAGCAAAGAAAGCTTGTGGAGGTATGCAAAAAACAAGGCTCTAAATCTAAATCTATGGGTGTGTCATGAATGATCTTTTGGAGATTTAGTTTTAATTAAAAAGTCTGTAACAGATAAGACCTTTTGTAAACCAATCAAATTTTTCTAATTTTTTTTATGGATGCTGGTGCTGTATCGTTGCAGAGATTGTAATTAAGAAAAGCAAAACATGGCAGGGGGGATATGGAAAAGGACATAAAATAGCTATTAACTTCTTTGTTGCATTTTACACAACAAATTAAAATCTTGTGTTTGCTGTTTATAGAAATGAGTCATCATTATCATTCCATATTAAAAAGATAAAAGAATGTAATTATTTCAGTACAAGTAAGCACCTTTTGAAAAATATAATACTGAGAAAGAAAAAATGCTCCGTTTTCCTTTTTAAAAAGCTCCATATTATGTTCACCATCAAATCTGATAAATCTACTACAACAATTTTCTCCTTAAAAGCTCCATATATAGTAAGGGATTCCTTATAATAATTGAAATCCTGAGAAAAATCACAGCATTATGTAACCTACCAAACATCTTTCTTAGCATAAACTCCAAATCTGTCATAATAAAGTTCCACTCAATGTGTTGAATTATTTTTATACTAGTGTATATATCTGTTGATTTTAATCAGAGTAAGCCTCGTAATACATGTACTAGGATGCCAGAGTGGTTTTTTAACAAATCATTATTTGGTACACTCAATTTTGTTTGATAGATTACCCCCCTTTATATTTTCTTCCCGGAGGAAGGTTAACTAACGTCTCAAGGAAACCAACTTTTCAGACCAGAAAATCTCTACCATTCATCTGTTTAACTGGTATTTTAAAAAAAAAATTGGCACAAAACCCTAGGTGACATCTGGGAATTCAATATCCACTGTGGTTTCTTTTAGAATAATTTTCCTCTGGTCCTTTTATACTCACATGTAGCAATTTTATGAGTTATTCTTATTTTCCTCTTTGAGAAGTTCTGTTTTCACAATCTTTTAAATCTAACTTATTAGGAGTCAAATATTTCTCATGTAGACCTATAAATTTTCTTTATACACAAATTATATGGGTTTAAAATAAAGAATTTATACATGCATGATAGCTTTAAGCCCACATAATACAAGATAAGCAAATCTTGAAATCAATGCTATGAACAAAAATACATGCTGTTAATAAATAAAAATGTTCATGCATAAATTCATGGTCTGATTCAAAGGATCTAACCATAATGGGTCAACTTAAACCTTTGAACAGGTCTGTGCAATGAGAGATTGTGTAATTATTGAAGACTTTCCTGAATTCAAATAGCCCTCAATTTCTCAGTAGCAAAACTCATTCCATTTTCCTTTAAGGATGCTCTACCATATTCCAAATAAAATTAAGAATTGTACTCTAGTGTGAATTTCTCCTTCTAACCAATTCTGAACTAACCTTGTGCATTTTCAACTTTTACTATCTATTTTTAATTTCTATGGACACCTACTTTTTATTCAATATAGTGACCATTTCCACATGGTTGATAGCTGTACGATTTTTCCCTACATTACCTTGTTTTTCCCCGGCTGGTGCTGGCGGTCGTTCAAACAGAGCGATATTTGCCGAGTTAAAGAACAGACAGTTGACATAACCACCGACGTCACCCCAACACAGAATCGCTTCATTGGCATCCTTAGGGTTGTACCTTAAAAAATATTTAAGAAATTATTCCAGGTTTTGGGGATCATGAGGGTATACATACATGCTGGCAAACATGGAAAGCTACTTCAATACCAAACAAAGGGATAGAACTCTTACCAGTAGTCCAGACAAAGGGGAGTGAACTCCATGCCCTGTACCTTGTACTGGCAGTTAAATTCTAGCTTGTTCCCCATGTCATAAATAGCTGTAAATTTAAATATAACATATGTAATAAATAGCTGTAAATACATGTCATAAATAGCTGTAAAATATTACATAGTAATAAATAGTGGTAGATACAGGTCATAAATAGCTGTAAAATATTACATATGTAATAAATAGTGGTAAATATATGTCATATATAGCTGTAAAATATTACATATGTAATAAATAGCTGTAAATATATGTCATAAATAGCAGTAAAATATTACATATGTAATAAATAGTGGTAAATACATGTCATAAATAGCTGTAAAATATTACATGTGTAATAAATAGCTGTAAATACATGTCAAAATAGCTGTAAAATATAGCATATGCAATAAATAGCAGTAAAATATTACATATGTAATATATAGTGGTAAAATACAAAACATGTTTTCTTCTGTTAGAGAGAGGTTTTCAGGTATCATATAACTGTGTAGCTGTTAAACACTTTGAACTATGTATAAGTGAAAATAATGATTAAAAAAAGACCCTAATGTTATGATGAACATATAGAACTGTGAATATTAACATAGGTACTCTTAAGATATACGTACTATATGGATTTCAACATTTGTGACCTTAGAAATCCCCTCTAGTACAAGTTTGACCCAATAAAATAAAGTGACTGGACTGCCAGTAATTTAAATTAAGGCAGTGTCACAGTATTCTGGTGTTTTAAAACAATTAACAGTATTTCTATTAATTTACCAATCTCCTTTGAGGTGAAGGCCACGGCAATTTTATTGATGTTCTGTAGAGCTACAAAATGAGTCACCCAGAGATCCCTGGCTTTACATGAGTCTGTGGCAATCCGAAATGATCGGGACAACTTCAGATCCGGGCCCCATATACCTACAGTACCCTCCTGTCAACCAATCAGAAAACAGGGATTATTTACAATATCCTACTGCCAACCAATCAGAAACAATCATTATTTACAGTATCCCTCCTTTCAACCAATCAAAAACAAGGAATATTTATATTATCTTCATGTCAACCAATCAAAAATAAGGATTATTTATAGTACCTTCCTGGCAACCAATTAGAAACAAGGTATATTTACAGTACCTTCATGTCAAACAATCAGTAACAATGATCATTTACATTGCTTACCAGCAATTAATCAAATACATGTACAAGGGTTATTTACAGTTCCTCCTACTCTACATCATGCTTACACGTTGAAGAACTAAATAAATACCCCCACAATTTGAAAAAACTCAACTCAACTAATTTTTAGACCTAAGAGAGTCCTTTCACCTTGCAAGACATTATTGTGTATACTTCTATTTCACCTTGCCAGACGTTATTGTGTATACTTCTATTTCATCTTGCCAGACGTTATTGTGTATACTTCTGTGATACAAGTAGAGTGAGGTGTAGATCTGAATGACAACTGACCTTGCTAATGGAGACATATCTGTTGCTACTCTTTAGATACTGCACTCTCTGTACGATATCCTTGTGGGGACTAAAACCAGAAAAAAAATCATAGATATATAATGATGTAAGTGTTCTTGATATTTGTAGAGAGTGCTGTCTTGCTCAACATTGAAGTGTGGAGACACAAGTGCTGAATACCTATATAAGGCTGTCTAAAGTTAATTCTGTGTTTAACGTCACCGAAACACTTAGGTTTTGTAGAAATTGGCACTTTGAAAAAACAGAAACTGGTATTTTTTAAGTTTTTATTTTGGTTTGCTTTCTTTCCTCGTAGGTTTTGAAGTTTTCAGGTGATGATAAATGTAGAATTAATTTCTTCCAGCCTTACAATACACAGTGTATATTTAAGAAATGAATTTAATTTTTGAAGATTCATGAGGACATGAACTACGACGCTTCACGCCGGCATATTTCATGAAGCGCGTTAGCGCTTCATGATAAATATGCCGGCGTGAAGCGTTGTAGTTCATGTACCTCATGAATTTTCAAAAATTAAATTCATTTCTTATATTTACATTGTTTTTCTGATGATTAGAGATAAGTAACGCCATTCAACTGTCATTTTTAAAGCAAAACAGTTTGCACTATAGTTTTGACGTCGAGTAAGGTATTATGATGTAACAATGGAGATATTCATTCCCATCCATGGTAGTTCATGAGAAAATGAACTGTATTCTATTTTGTAAAGAATCATAGGGGAAATTTATTGAAAATGTAAATATAATGATATGGCATACAGAGAAATTACTGATTATTTATATAGGACACCTAAGATGACGCCGTACCTTTGTAGCATTTTCAGGTCCTTCCACTGTGGGACCTGGGTTGACTTGACCCGATCATCTCTCTCATAAAACTCCTACAAAGAAGCCCTACCTTTGTAGCATTTTCAGGTCCTTCCACTGTGGGACTTGGGTTGACTTGACCCGATCATCTCTCTCATAAAACTCCAGCAGCATATGTGAGGCAAACTTGTCCCAGTCCACCGTCCCCTCCTTAGCCACATCAATCTTGTCAAAGAGTTCTCCGTACTCCTCCCGAGTCCCTTTGTCAAGGAGGATAGAGAGAGCCTCACAGAACATGTCCCTGTATAGAGCCAGCTTGTTATCATAGCCATCTCCCTCTGTCTGTCATAATAAAGAATAAGTCTGTGTATATAGATAGCTTGTTATCATAGCCATAATTCCCTCTGTCTATCAGAATATAACAGTTTTTTTTATCATAATATGCGAATGCCAGTATCACAAACTCATCAATATCAAAATGCAGTATATTTTTGTTTTCCAAAAAAAAAAAGAGAAAGAGAAAAAATTAGCTGCCACCAAAGTAACATTTACCTACACCAGTTGTGCATGTGCAGATCCATTGTGGGGGTTAGGGGTCTGAACCCCTTCTCCCAACCCAACCTCCCTCCCCACCGACAAACAAGAAACTTGGGTAAGGAGGGCTTGAAGACCTCCATCCTGGATTCATGGATTGTTTTCTTTATCCAATTGACAGAATAACCCTGAAAATCACCTCAAATCCAACATCGTCTTTTATGAACTTCAGAAAATCACAAGTAGTAAAGAATATGGTTTGAGGCATTATGAATTCATTGTGACACCCCCCTTTCCTTTTACCATTTTCTGAAATCCTGAATCTATAGACTCCTTGTTTAACCAAATACCATTATGCTTTGACACCATTCATTGCGAAACTTCACTAAAAATCTATGTTAATCTATAATCATAATCAAAAACACCAAAAATAATCCATTAAGTGCTAAAATTTCATCCCCGCACTTCCTTTGTGCAGATGTATAACTAATCTCCAGCCCTTATATAGATGTTTACCGGTTGGTACAAAAATCCCCCGCCCTCAACCACTGGGTCCCAGTCTAAGGCGCGTCTTATATTCTCTGTCTAAAAACATGTATCAATGTTCACAAATCCATAATTAACATTATTAATAAAATATTGTAATCTGCCAGTAAACATTAAGATTTACCTTGACCTTACATTTCAGAACCCTTAGATTTTAAGTAACATTTTACATAAATGTGATAATTCATATTGAATGTAATATCAATTGTTTTTTAAATATTTATAATATGAATATACAGTTTGACAAATGTTCCCTGTCCCTGTGCAAAGTCCACACCACCTACTACATTGTATTTGATACCTCTAATGGGCTCTCCACCTACTATTTGATACCTCTGATGCGCAGCTCTGTTAAGGCTGCATAAAGGGGGCGGGGCCTAATTTATACGGGAAAAGTTTACTGTGACATTACACAAATATAGCAATTCCTCACAATAACAGAAAATGAAATAATTTGTGAATCTAAACTGCATAAGAGTAATGAACTACATGAAAACTTACCACTGCATTCATTTTTGTCGCTAGTTAAATCCCACACAGCAAGATATAAACAAGTCACTGATCGCAATGCACTTGTCGACATGACGTCATCATGGTAAAGTTTGACGCATTTTATGTGCAGTGAGAGGCGGATCAAGTAATTTTTTCACAGTGAAAAATGCATTTTATTATTAAACAGAATATTATTTGAAAATCTTAGGTAGACCATTAATACAAATCTGAAACATTTGTTTAGTGTCATTATTTAAAAACTATCGAGAGAATGTATTGAATTAATTCTAAAGTGTTTTTGTCAGGGTGTCAGGGTGTGCATGTTTCACGCCGAGGTGCCTCATGAAATCGCCTTTTCGCAAGGGCATACACTTAATAGATCTTGAACATTTTTTGAATACACATAATTGACATATTCCTTAACTTGAAAAGTGCTGCTGCTTTCCTGAAATCGATAGCGTAACTTAATAAATACATAAAATACTTGGTAAAGGTCACACATATTTCGACATTAGCAAGATAACATGAAATTTAAAGTAATAAAATGCGAATTCTATTTAAAGCAGCAGCACTTTCCATAAACTACAAGTTATGTAGAAACAATCTATTATTTTAATTTTTAATTTTAACTAGGGTATGCCCTTGCGATATTGAAATTTGTTTGTGACCTACATACAGTACACATTACATGCATTTATCACGTGACTATCAAATTACGTGACTAAACCAAATTCAGTACAGAGCGAGGTATACAATGTTATTTCAAAGAATGTTAAAGTCATAAGATAATATAGTACCTTTACAAAATTAAAATTCATTTTAAAAAGATATGTATTTATGCACGTTTATATTCTGTTGATTTCTTCGAAGTAAGCCTTAACAGTGCTGCGTGGGCTCTTCACCTACTATTTGATACCTCTAATGGGTTCTCCACCTACTATTTGATACCTCTAATGGGCTCTCCACCTACTATTTGATACCTCTAATGGGCTCTCCACCTACTATTTGATACCTCTAATGGCTTCTCATTTTTTCATAAGTTACATACATGTATTATAATTACACATTAGTACAGTCAAGACTCGCTCATCCAGATGCTTGTATTCCCTAGCAAATAATCTACATTAAAGAAGAGTTTGCCGGCTTAATGAAACATACCTTTTATAATTTTCAAATATAGAAATAAATTTTGGATTCCACATATTTCATTTGGAAGATAAAGTGTCCATATTATATGAATTATATATATTATAGGGACTATTGACATGATTGAGGCCTCACTGTACTCAAAATCATAATAATTGAAAGAAACAAAATTCTGCCACCTTTAACCCCATGTTTATCTTCGTCTATGTTTGTACCAGATCACCAACAGGGGTTGAAATTTTCCTGGAAATCCCACTAGCCCAGGGGCTACTGATCAGGAAAAAATTACTAGCCCAAACCTCAAACTAACTAGTCCAACATTTTTTTAATGCAAAATGATAACATAACAAGTTAAAGTTTCAAATGTTTTGGTGACAGAAACAAATTAAACTAGTTCTCAGTCAAAAGAAACCAGTCTTCATAGAAAAACGAAAGTAAACTGACAAGAATTTTTTTTCTGTTCTGCTAGTCTGATGGACTATCGTTACATATAAATAAGCTAGCCTGAGTCTTAAAATAACTAGCCCGGGGCTTCGCGCTACCGTATATTTCAACCCCTGATCAATAATTGTGTGATTGTGCTCCTAAAACTATTTGAGACATGTGCAACTTAATTCCATCCAATATTACCATTGATTTAAAGTAAAATGCATACCCCCATAACAGGAAAATCTCTGAGAATTTCAGAAAGTGTGTCTCTCTGTAAGCAATGACTTAATATGTAAATTAGGTCAGATAAAAAAAATGACTGAGACGTACCTACAAAGGTAGCTTTTATATGAAAAGCTCACCTTCTTCCACATACCACAGTATTTTATAACCAACCAAATTAAACATTGTCATTATATGCATGTATTCCTCCCACTAACAGATAAGCCAATACCAAAAACAAGGCCTCGATCTGGTCATTAAAAAAATGTTCATAATAAATGACATTACTGTGAAATCACAAATTTCCACGAGGTTTAATTTTTGCTGTTTCCATGGTATGAAGAGACCCACAAATTCATGTCCTCCATGAAATGTAATAAAAATTTCTTTCAGCACTTCTTTACCCACAAAATCAAATCCCCAAGAAGATCTACTTCTTCCTCAAACCTTGAAAATTTGACCTCACGAAAGTATGTGACTTTACAGTATTGAGTTTTCTTTGTTAAAAATTATTGTAAGCACATCAACATCATCGAACCATGCTACTGAAACTAATTAAAATTTAAGATTTAAGTTTTGTGAAATAAAAATTTGAAATCTACAGTAAAGTACTGTTGTTGTTTTTTTAATGGATGTACCAAATAAATTGGATGCTCATCTAGAAGTTCCAATAAAGAATTTTGCTAAATGGGATTAAAAAAAAAAAAACTTGAATCAATAAGATTTCACATGATGAAATTAAATTATTTGACAAGATCACGATACAAAATTCTGCATTAACAAAAAAAGAGAATTTCTGTAAATCTGGAACACTACGACATCACATTTTTGTTTCACTAACACCTGGAATTCATCCACTTTACAGTAATTTATTTTTACATATAACTTTGAAAAGTTTACAGCAGATTTGATATTTACAAACACATTCAAACAAGAGTATGATGAGTTTTGGCAAATTTGACAAAAAGAAAGCATTTGATACACTGTCAAGTTTCTTACCATGAAAGCTTTCTGGAGTTTGGCTAAGTCCTTCATTGTTAGTCGGTTCTCAAGTTTGTTATCAATAGATATAGCCTTCCTAGAAAAAGGAAGAAAAAAATAACAAATTACGTAAAATATTGAGTACAAGTACTAGTTAACAGTAACTTTCAGATAAACAAGCTTCTCTTTCACATCAATAAAATAATTCTTAAAACAAATGAAACATTTTTAACTTTTCCTGAAATAGACTTCTCTATAATTTAGCTTGATATGTATGTTAAATGAATTTAAGTCATTAAAATTTCATGTAATAATAAATGTAATTCACTCGCAGACTGTCAATTTTATTTTATTTTCACTGACAAATTCTGCTATACAGGCACCTTATCCTTGTGTGTATAATCACATCTTCACAAAAATAAATGTGCAATCTCACTCAACAAAACAACTATATCTATCAATTGAACCATCATCAAATCAACAAACATACATATTTATAACTTTCATTACTGTATATTTTACTAATCTTTGCTAATCATTTGTGCTCTCACAGATTAGGATTACATAATTATACTCTGCATGCAACCATCTCCTTGATATTTTACAGATCTATGGTGCATTGTTTTTAAAAAGCATGTCATATGTACATAATTAACCGTCCCCCTACTATAACACTTGTGCAGTACTTACAACTTTTGTAATTGTTTTTCTCGTTTAGTTTTGAGCTTTTTTGACACAGACATTATTGCTGGTGTCAACAAAAATGTCACCCTCATTGAAGTCTCTGTTCTGATTTCAATTAAATTAAAATATAATTCTTAAATCATAAACAAGTCCCCGTTATGTGACTTTCCACATAAAATACTATCTAGATCATAAAACTATTCACACAATAAATTCTTTAAAAACATACATTCATTGCTTGGTAAAATAAAAATATTACAATGCATGATACTGCAAAATGCTTTACTGTCACTGAACATGATTACTGTGCATATATAAAGAAGGTATGCATATGTAGAATTCGTTATAAATCAATTGATTGCACTGACCAGCTTAAGGGAAAAAAACACAAACAGACAAATTGTTTTAAACACTTACTTTTCTTTGTCCGGGGTTTTACTCCGTGATGATTTCATCAGGTCGGGAGTTTTGGTCGTGTCCAGCTTCCCGGAAGTAGCCACAGTGGGGGTTGTGGCTGTCGTCGACATCTTCAGAGATTTGGCGGAGTCTGATGAGATTTAGCAGGTGCCCGTGTTGTGCTCCTTTAGCGGTTACGTCATTAAAGCATAGATAAAGCGTGCATCTTCAAGACTTGCACATTTAGGATAAAACGTTTTGTTGATTCATCTTCATTTTAAATGGTTTTCCAAATCAATTCAATTAAAAAAATCTGTCAAACGATCTCAGCGATAATCCTCGCTGTCCGCCATTTGTAAATCAAGTTGCCAAGGATCTATAGAAATAGAATGTTTCCGATAAGGAAAATATATTTCCGGATTTCTCTAGATAGAACGTTCTATCGTCAAAATGATATTGTCCTACGGACCCGGTTTTACGATAGAATTCGTTCCGTGTATTCACAATGTAGCAAAATAAACACGGGCGATAACTCGAACTCTCTGCATTTTATATGAACAATCCAGAGAGTTCCGAATGTCAACATGGCGTTAAATTTGAAGCGAGGAAAAAACGTTGAGAAAATGAGTTGAATTTTCGTATATATATGGATTAATTTGTAGGTTAAAAGGCATATACAATCTCAAAAAGGTTTGTTATGATTAATTTGGTAGTTATTTTTAATGCAACTCCTTTTGTATTCTTCAAAATCATTTTGAAGTGGATCCACTCCAATTTGCTACATTGCAAGTATATGGGACGTATTCTAACTGTGGTGAGGGCTTGTCCCGAGACACAGTTAGATTATTCTAACTAGGATTTCTCAAACTCGTGCTAAATATTTGATCGGATGAACAAGTCTACAGACAACATCAAATAGGTCGTGTAATCACAAAACAAATAATCATTTTATTTGTTACATTTATTCCAAATTTTATCGAGAAGTTTTTTTTTCTCTTTGTATATTTTACAGTGGAGGATTAATTAATGTGTGACAACTTGAAAAGTCATTTATATTCTGCTCTTTTTTTTTTAAATCCAAAGTAACTGTAGTTATATACGATTACTTTTGAAAGTAATTGACCTATCCCTGTCATTGAATAAATCAATCGTATTATTACAGTTACTCTGGGTTTTAAAACAAGAGGCCCATGGGCCACATCGCTCACCTGAGTAACTTTGGCCATGCTGTTCATTACCAGACTCCCCCCTTGTAATACCTATTGTGGCCCCACCCTCCCCCCAGGGGCCATGATTTGAACAATTTAGAATCTACACTACCCCAGGATGCTTCCACATAAGTTTCAGTTTTTCTGGTCCAGTGGTTCTTGAGAAGATTTTTAAAGATTTTTCCTATATATTTCAATGTAAAACTTGGGATTCCCCCTATTGTGGCCCCGCCCTATCCCCTGGGTCATGATTTGAGCAATTTAGAGTGTACACTACTTGAGGATGCTTCCACATAAGTTTCAGCTTTTCTGGCCCAGTGGTTCTTGAGAAGAAGATTTTTAAAGATTTTTCCTATATATTTCAATGTAAAACTTGTATTTCCTATTGTGGCCCCGCCCTACCCCCGGGGGTCATGATTTGAACAATTTAGAATCTACACTACCCCAGGATGCTTCCACATAAGTTTCAGCTTTTCTGGCCCAGTGGTTCTTGAGAAGAAGATTTTTAAAGATTTTTCCTATATATATTTCAATGTAAAACTTGGATTCCCTATTGTGGCCCCGCCCTACCCCCGGGGGTCATGATTTGAACAATTTAGAATCTACACTACCCCAGGATGCTTCCACATAAGTTTCAGCTTTTCTGGCCCAGTGGTTCTTGAGAAAAAGTTTTTTAAAAATTTTTCCTATATATTTCAATGTAAAACTTGTATTTCCTATTGTGGCCCCGCCCTACCCCCGGGGGTCATGATTTGAACAATTTAGAATCTACACTACCCCAGGATGCTTCCACATAAGTTTCAGCTTTTCTGGCCCAGTGGTTCTTGAGAAGAAGATTTTTAAAGATTTTTCCTATATATTTCAATGTAAAACTTGTATTTCCTATTGTGGCCCCGCCCTACCCCCGGGGGTCATGATTTAAACAATTTAGAATCTACACTACCCCAGGATGCTTCCACATAAGTTTCAGCTTTTCTGGCCCAGTGGATCTTGAGAAGAAGATTTTTAAAGATTTTTCCTATATATTTCAATGTAAAACTTGTATTTCCTATTGTGGCCCCGCCCTACCCCCGGGGGTCATGATTTGAACAATTTAGAATCTACACTACCCCAGGATGCTTCCACATAAGTTTCAGCTCTTCTTGCCCAGTGGTTCTTGAGAAGAAGATTTTTAAAGATTTTTCCTATATATTTCAATGTAAAACTTGGATTCCCTATTGTGGCCCCGCCCTACCCCCGGGGGTCATGATTTGAACAATTTAGAATCTACACTACCCCAGGATGCTTCCACATAAGTTTCAGCTTTTCTGGCCCAGTGGTGCTTGAGAAGAAGATTTTTAAAGATTTTTCCTATATATTTCAATGTAAAACTTTGATTCCCTATTGTGGCCCCGCCCTACCCCCGGGGGTCATGATTTTTACAATTTAGAATCTACACTATCCCAGGATGCTTCCACATAAGTTTCAGCTTTTCTGGCCCAGTGGTTCTTGAGAAGAAGATTTTTAAAGATTTTTCCTATATATTTCAATGTAAAACTTGTATTTCCTATTGTGGCCCCGCCCTACCCCCGGGGGTCATGATTTTTACAATTTAGAATCTACACTATCCCAGGATGCTTCCATATAAGTTTCAGCTTTACTGGCCCTGTGGTTCTTGAGAAGAAGATTTTTTAATGACCCCACCTTATTTTTGTCTTCTCTTGATTATCTCCCCTTGTGAGGGGACTTGGCCCTTCATTTTAACAATTTAAATTCCCCTTTATCCAAGGATGCTTTGTACCAAGTTTGGTCAAAATTGGCCCAGTGGTTCTTGAGAAGAAGTCAAAAATGTGAAAAGTTTACAGACGGACGGACAGACAGACAGACAGACGGACGGACGGACGACGGACAAAATGTGATCAGAAAAGCTCACTTGAGCCTTCGGCTCAGGTGAGCTAAAAAATGATTACAGCCATTTTTCAAAACAATACTGCATTACATGTAATCGTGATCACGTGATTACTCGGTTTACTCTAGATTACATTATTTTTTAAAACTTTTTTCTTGTAACTTATTTTATGAATTACCAGGAAAGAAACTGAGTTTTTACCGATACAGGATATTTCATTCTGAAATCAATACCCATTTACACACTTTTTCATTGCATTTAACCACCATTTACATTTTAAATGTAGAATTTGGACCTTTATTGCTCGTACATGCACATGCTTGAGCAGTTTTATCTGATCATCTGATTTTTTTCATATATATAAATTTAATATTTCTGTGCTTGTCGATAGACAACAACATAAAAAAAAACACTTACTTATCAAACAAATTAGATATATATATTTATAGTTTGAAATAATGATACACGTATTTGGATACCAAAGTGATATTCTGCCATATTGCGAAAGGAGATCAAAGTAAGTAAAATATAATTTCTGGCCTGTAACTAAACCATCTTGATAGAGATTAAAACTGCCAATTTCTTCCAAAATATGATGCGAAAGTCCACGTTTCCATGTTTTCAATCTCACAACTGCTCAACTTACTAAGACTCCACAGCCAATGACACTGTGTTAAGAAAAGACAGAGGCAAAGGGATCAAATCAAAGAAAATGTAATGAACAGAAAATTCAATGTTTTGTAGTTGGATACGGAATTTATTTCACTCTTGAGACAGGATTTTTTGATATTTTCACTCGTGTTTCGAACTCGTGAAAATATCAAAAATCCTGTCCCGCTTGTGAAATAAATTCCATATCCATCTACAAAACATTGAATATCCTCTATGTATTTATAAATAAATACTATATTCAGGTAACCATTTAATTTTAGCTCTATTGGTGAGAGACCAGAAGAGCTTATGCGATAGTAAGGTGTCCGGCGTCCGTCCATCTAGCTGTCCGTCTGTCTGTAAACAATTTTTCAAAACCCTACTCCTCCTACAGTTTTGGTCTGATTTCAATATTACTTGGCACACAAGTAGACGACACTAAGATACATAATTTAGTGCATCAGTTTTTGATTTTGATGAACGGTGTTGCCATGGTTACTAAAAATATAAATTTCTTTGAAATTCCTTTAAAACGCTACTCCTCCTACAGTTTTGGTCTGATTTCAGTATAACTTGGCACACAAGTAGACTACACTAAGTTACATAACTTGGTGCATCGGTTGTTGCCATGGTTACTGAAATAGAAATTTCTGTGAAATTCCTTTAAAACGCTACTCCTCCTATAGCTTTCGTCTGATTTCAAAAGTACTTGGCACACAAGTAGACTACACTGAGATGCATAATTCTCTTTTTTTTTTTAATTTTAGTGAAGTTTGCCATGGTTACTAAAAATACAAATTTCTGTGAAATACATTCAAAATGCTGCTCCTTCTATAGTTTTGCTTTAATTTCAATGTTACTTGGCATCAAATAGACTTCACTGAGAACATAATTGTCTTTATCATTTTTTTTTTTATTTTGATGAATGATGTTGCCATGGTTACTTAAATCAAAATTTCTGCTAAAATCTTTTAAAACGTTACTCTTCCTACAGTTTTAGTCTGATTGCAATAAATCTTGATGCAAAAAGAGACTAAACCAAGGATCATTACTCTACTTATTGCTGTTGCAAAGTTTCAAGTCCAAGTGCTACTTTTCTTTGTTATAAGTGCAAACCAGTAGAGCTATAGTCCCTTTAGAGACTTCTGGTTAGAAATATACAGTAATAACTGTGACTAGATGGTACCAGGATAACCCATTTAAACTCGAAAGCTTATTTGTAATGGGGTTCTATTATAAATAAACAATATGAACAATGCGATGTTTTGTAATTAAACACTATTATAATTTGGCTTTATTTTGAAAATTTGAACGATTGGAACGATTTTTACTTTGCAGTCATAGAATTTACGGAGCAATATGAAGTTTCTTGACGTTATAGGTCACTTGACAACCTGATTCAAAACCTGTCAATCTTTTTCTCACTTTAAATATCTTTCAGTTAGAACTACAGATTTTCATAAAAAAGTACTGGTATTACTATAATAGAAAGACATTTTACTTTTTTCCTAAAATGTCTTCTGTAGCGTGTCGGCTACG